CTATTACGACATACGCTGTTGACGTAACCGCTCATCTTTTTGACGTAACCCTACGGCACCAATTTTCTGCACCTCTAATAGGGACTTCTCATTTTTTTTCGGGAGGTAGCGGTGGTGGTAGTCAATCAATCATAAAACTGTATTTTATCCATGTGAAGCGCTTTCGTAGATAATCATCGTGGTGGATTATGTTGAGATTGGATCATGCTGAAATTCCGGCCCGAATTATAAAAAATTTTTGGGCCAGTTGGCCCGAATTATGATCATTTCCATAAAACATATAGTACAATTTTTTTTTAGGGTTAAGAAAAAGAGGGTTTTATTTTTAGTTAAATGTTTTTTTCATATAGCTTATATAACATTTCAGCATGGTCCAAATTTCAGCATAAGCCCCCACAATCATTAAACAAACTGGCCAATCAATGGGCGCGCAATTTACATATTATAATTTCATTAACTTCGAGCGTTTTAAACCAACTTTTATTGAATCACCATCTTTTAGAGAATACATATACTTTCGAAACAGTCTACAAAAGTTTATAAATAAAAAGAATCAAGTTAATTATTTATAATAAAGAAAAATGATGTTAAACTTCACGAATTAGCAATATATTTTACTATATGGTAAATAATACTTCAATTCTGCGCAATGTAAGGTGATGCAACTTGATTTTCTTGGTCGCTAAGAAGTTATTTTATTAGTAAAGTGTTGCATCTATTATTATCTTTGTCTTTGCTTTTACAATGCTATATAAATCCTTGTATAACATCAATCCTAGAATTTATCAGATTCGAACGTTAATTTTGTGATTATTGCAATATTTGTGATTAGATTTCTAAACTAATAAACTATTATCTCTCTTGAACCTATCACAATCGCAATTTCTAAATGAGTTTTAGATGGTTTTTGTTGAAACAAGTAGAAGAGAGTAGAAATGAGCAAAAATGAACAAAAAGCATTAAATAAATTTTTATATAAGTTTTCTGTCTTTTGCTTATTTATTTTCTTTTTACAATTCAGTAATATCTTTTGTATTTACAGAAATTCTGTTTTTTGGTTATTGCGTTAATTATAAAAATTATGTAGAAGACAGAAACCAAAATTTCAAAAATATTATTCATTATGAAACAAAAATATTGTATTCTTTGTGAAAATATGAAATCAATTTCGAAAATAGTACCGTAAAAAGTTCATATACATGATCCCCCAAATAGTAAACTCACCATGAATTAGACCCGGGTGCAAACCACAGAATCTTTATTAATTAAATGCGTTTTTTTTAAATAGTTGGAATGCCTATTATAAATACAAAGTGTGTATGCAGTTTAAATTTTTTCTTTTCATGATGTAACCTCTGAGCGAGTACTAGACCCCGGATCTACTAAAGGGTTTAAAAATTGCTTAGAATCAGGTCTATATACTATTTTTATAATTAAAAGTTTTTAAATTCTCGATTTTATACAGTATAGATGTCTTATTTAATTCTAGTAAAATTCTATTAGCGACGCAAACCAATATTTGATAAGGACCGGTGCTTTTATTAATGATATCAAGATCTCTAAAAAAGGATGGATTCTACCAGGTCAACATTCTCAATTCTTTAATATCACACCTGTAAACTATACGCTTCAATTACAAGCTATGACAGCTGAAAAACTTGAATTCAATTTACCTGCTGTATTCACCATTGGACCAAAGGATGACACACCATCTTTAGAAAAATATGCTAAATTATTATCATCAAAAGATAAAAATTCAGAACATGTTAAGGACTTGGTTAGAGGTATTCTTGAAGGTGAAACTAGAGCTATTGCTGCAGGTATGACTATGGAAGAAATTTTTCAGGAGAGAAAAGGTTTTAAAGATAAACTCATTAAGAATGTTCAGGCTGAGTTGGAACAGGTAAACTATATTGAAAAGTCTATTTTATATATATAAATTCAAATTTACTAACTATTAGCTTTTTTTTTTATTGAAAACTAGTTTGGTTATTTATTTATAATGCGAATGTGAAGCAACTTGTAAGGATTTTTTTTTCATTTGAAAGATTCGTATAATATATCCGCGATAATTATCTAATATAATATAATTTATTATATAATAGCATGATACACAAGGAAGTGAATATTTTGCATACATGAGAAAGAAAACTCATGAAGGTGCCATTAATCAAGCCAAAGTAGAAGTTGCCGAAGCAAAGTACAAAGGTGACGTCGGTTCTAAGCTTCGAGAAGGTTTAACTCGACAAGAAACGGTAATTACATTTACTATGATCTTTGTTATGATCTTATTTTCTAATTTTTATAATATTCTATTTTTTATATTAGTCAAAAATTGAAGCTGATGCTGTCTTGGTAGAAAATGAACGAAAAGTATCCATTGCTCAAGCCGAAATGAATTTATCTACCAAAAAATCAGAATACTCACAGCAAGCTAAGATCACTGCTATCGAAGCTGATCAAGCTGCTAAGATGCGACAAGCTGAACTTGAAAAAGAAGTTGAAGAACGTCGACTTTTATCAGAAACAGAACGTCTTAGAGTTCAAAATGTTACAAAAGCCACTGCTGAATATGAAGCGGCAAAAGCTGTCGCCAATGCTAAATTATATTCCGTACAAAAAGCTGAGGCTATACTATATAGGAAACAAAAAGAAGCAGAGGGATTATTAGCTGTCTATAATGCTCAGGCTGAAGGTATAAAGAATTTAATGCAAGCGTTTGGTGGTGACAGACAAGCTGCAATCCAATATCTAATGATTGAAAAAGGTATATATCAACAATTGGCCAAAGAAAATGCACAAGCTATTCAAGGACTCAACCCGAAAATTACTGTTTGGAACACTGGAGATGGAGCTACAAATACCGGAAATAAGTTTACCACCATTGTTGTCCACTATTCAAGATCAAACTGGAATTACACCCCTAATTGGATAGCTCAGATGACTTCTTGCTAGTTCAATTGTAAATTTTCAGATATTAAATTTATCACCTCTAACTATTTTTACTGTAGTATATGTGTATTTTATTCAATAGTTTTTTTTTTTTTATACGTGTTTATTTTATACGTTAGTTTTCTTAGTTTTCACATCCAACTTGTGTTAAACAATATCTGTAATGAATGATTTTGTAATTATATTATTTAATATATATTGTACTTTATGTTTCAAATAAACTGAATTTATTTTATATGAAACATTTTGTTCGATTAGTAAGAACACAATATCATGTGTCAAGCATTCGGCCCAGATTAGGGTTAGTTTAATGTTAGGTTAAGGGTATAGTTTGGGCCAGTTTGTTTAGCTCTGGTAAACAAATAACGTCATGTTATGTTTATCATGTGATCGCGCATATTTCCTTTTGTACACAAAGATGGGCACACAGACAATATGTTTACTATATCGAGTATGTATGTACGATAGCCGTTCTCTTCAAGTATTCCCGATTAGCATTCTTAGATATTTGCTTTTCGAATATTTCTTCGTAGTGTTGTCGGCTTATAACACTTGGCGTTTACACCTTCAAAAGAACATCAACTTCTAAAAAAAGTAATATTAAAGAACTAATTTACCAAGACAAATATTTATAATAACCAGCCCAAGATCAATAACGAGACACGTCGATCTGTAATACAAATCTATAAAGGTAATAAATATACGCCATGAATTAGTGTAACAAACATCGCGAAGTAAAAATCTATTTTTGCTTAAAAACGCGTAATATTTAGTATAGTTAACAACCAAAATAGCACACCGACAAATATTACCAACACTTAGTTGTAAAGAAAACTGACCTTATTATCATTATTGGTTAAGACGATAAAAAAAAACTAGTGCTGTCTATTTTGTTTACATTGCTGTTGGACGATGACAATATCATAATGTCATATGGTATGTCATGTGATATAGAATCATAGAACATGTCATATCTGATATGGGGTCTTTGCCTTGAAAATGTACATGATACCGTAAGGTCATTTTCAAGGCAAGACCCCATATTATTAATATAGATTATAATATGACAAATCATATAAGTCTTGTAAGTCATATGAAATCATCGTCCAACATTGGCTTGTATAAAAATTAGGTAGGCATTCTCTGAGTTGAGGCCCTTGTTTGATTACGTGATAATTAGGATTCTGCAAATACCCATGCCGGGCACATTGGCATCAGGCCAGGCACTAGTGCCTTGTGCCGTGCCTGGTGTCCATAAATACAAATTCGCATGGCACATTATGGCACGGACACAGAGTACTATACCAGGCACTATTAAGACATGGGCACAAAGTGCCAGGACACTAAATTGCCAACTAGTGCCTGGCATTTTATACAAAAGTTCTTGATCAAAATTTTTGTATCCCGTGTCAATTTTTGTGCCTGTTGTGAAGGGTTCCAGTGTGGCTGGTTTTCTATTTTTATCTCCTTTTAGTCGTTAGTTTGTCATTTTCTTTTTTAAATCGATTATAAAAATTTTAGTTAGTACTGTATGTACTGTACAATACGTAGTTGATAGTACCCCAATATAGTAAGAGAAAGAAGATCATTATTAGAAGTACAAAAATATCACGGCGATACGGCATATTTGCTGTATAAATAGAAGTGCCGTATGTTGTATAGATGCCGTATACCATATAAGTGTTGTGTGCCGTATGAATACCATTCACCTTAACTTAGTGGGCGATGATCTATTAATCGGTGGATTACTAACTAATACACTTAAATTATATAATAATATTTGACGATGATTAAAATGGTAACCTAAATACGGCAGAATTATACATTGTAATAAAGACAACACGTTTAAAGCATGGTGTTTGACATGTGATCCCAACAAACAAAAATGAGAGTATTAATGATTGCATCAGAATTTCAGCTTAGAACCATGGGAATGTAATAAGCGTGAAATAACGCTCGCGGGCACATGGGTGTCCCGAATTAACTAACGCGCATCCTAATGTAATATTGTTGCGATAAATGATATACAGCATATGCACACTCTCTATAAGTGCACTTCACATGAACTTTCCCTATAGTGATAAGTGCACATAATTTGATCGGTCTAATGTAATTATTTAATATATTATTATACAGTATGCACCATAAATTAATATTTTATAAATGCAGTTTTACCCAAAAATGTGCAGTTACGGAAGGTTGACTGTATTGGATTTAGAAAATCTCGAAATAACACATGGGTGCATTCGCAGGTCAATTAATTAGCGTAGGTGGGCGTTATTTCGCGCTTATACGGTATCTAATGTTAAAGAAATTGGCAAAAGAGGATTTTGTTACCAGCGAAATTTTTTAGGGTAGTAACGCTATACATCACTCACGGCAACTATCTCACGGCAACATAACCTCGGGTAGTACGACCTCTACGTCATAGCTGTAATGCCGTAAGGGAAATGTCTGCATCATTAATCATTACCTGATTCACCAAGTCACAAAGTTCAAACCTATCGCACTTATTGCACTTATCGTCCTTATCGAATTTATCGCCCTTAGTGAATATAGTGAATATAGAGCTTTGGTAGCCTTAGTGAATAAGTTCAACTTGTACCGTAGTAATGTAAAAACTATAAAAGCGATACCTTTTTTACGCTGTAATAAGTGAACTCAGTTAGAGTCCAACATTGATGAAGTGTTTGCTCTACTAACTCCCCCCTGATAAGCCAGAATTCGTATAAAAAATTAGTAGTTTAGTCTTGTGATCCCTAATTAGAGCCTCGTTACATAATCTAGAGCTCTATTTGACCTAATAACTCGGGTCAAGTCTTCCACATCTCTTTTGTAGCCTGCCAATATTAGGGTTTAAGATAGGGTTTATTTGTTTAATTAGTGTTGGTTGATATCGTGTGACCAATTCCGACCTTTTATTGGCATGGGCACAAGCCCGGCTTGCGGACTCCTAGTGATATTCTACTAAGCAAAAATTTGCTCCAAATGAACACGCTAATCTTTTTCCGACAATGCTGGTCAATCTGATACATATATATCACATGATTAGAGTATGCTAGTACTGTAATTACTGTAGTAAGGCTTATTACAGGGATGAGAAATGATCTCGTAACTCAAATGAATAATGACCAGTCATTGGCAATTTATGTTTTAATTGTATATGTGGTACGTTGGAAAGGAATACTTAGATTTAGAATCAACTTATATTGATTCTAAATAAAGTTGAAACGAAGCTTTAAATTCATTCAAATCGGTAAAGAATTTCGAATTAACTTATTGTTAATTCTGAATCCACTTAACGCATATTCAAATTTAAAATTAAAAGCATTTGAATTCAATTTAAACAGCAATACATTGTGGAGATACTTATACGTATATTCTAGTTATAATTCTAGCTACACTAATTATTGAAAGCGTGATTATTAGGCAATTTTGCCTTTTACGTTTGCGGTGATTTTTTCAAATTTACTCTTACAATTATATTTTATTTGTGAGACTAACCGGTAAATTTGACAATTTCGTAGCTGAAAGTTTTTTTTTTTGCTCAATACGATCTTTAGCGATTTCAATAGTTGTATTTAATGGATCTTGAATACAGAAATCATAATTTTCTCGTGTAATAGGTTTTAACAGATTTGCCATCAAGAATTTAGTAAACAAGCTTCAAATGCAGTATGTTATTTTCACATCTCGGCCATTTTTTTAAATTTACAGTATAGGGCGATTTGACTAGTGCTCTGCACAATCAAACAAAATTTGATAGTCTAGCCAATCGAGACAGTTTAGAATTCCATTGTTGATTCGGAATTCACAAAAACTCGATTTCAACAACACTAACATAAATTAATGATGGGTTTATTACTGTATCGAAGCCGGCTTTATTATGCATAATCTTAATGGTCCAAATGATTGAAGTCATTTATAGGTCATTTGGTCACGAGTTTTTTAAATGACTCGAAAATTAGATGACCAGCCATTTTGAGGTCATTTCAAGTTACTTGCAAAATAGTGGTCCCTGGTAAGGAATGCTCATAGACATGCTCCAAAGGGCATGTCCGTGCCCCTGTGCCTCGAACCCTAATCCGGGAATACTATAAATAGTACGTGCCAAACGGTACTGGCTAATGTGGTTAATGGCATAGCACAAAAATATAATGACAAAGTTAATTCGATTACTGTACTGAATTTAGTGAATAGCATATCAAACTGTATATGTGCATATACAGTAAATATATGTCATAAGAAAAGGCAGAATGTTTTTCTTTATCTTACACCCGCGGAAATCCTACGATTTCTTAGACTTAATCTGTTAAATCTGCTCTGCACCAGAAGCTTAAATATTATCGCATTATGAACGGATCAAAGATACTTTGAAACACGAGATATCTTGATTACGTGAGCAAATAATATTGGTTAATTGTTATACCGAATCTTTTATATGGGGTTTTTGCCTTGAAAATGACACAGTAATTACTATGTCCCATGAAGTCATTTTCAAGGCAAACCCGTATATGTTATAACATCATAGTAAAAATCCTCGAATGACAGAGAAGCTCTTGATTTAATAGTTGTGCATAGTAAATACAGTGAGCTACTTACGAAATAATAGTATAATGAAATTATAATACGTTATATGCTCAAATTTTTCAATATCTTTACTTAAAATATTTACATTTTTCATTTGATAAAAAGTTTATTCATGTATACAATGATGTCTTGTATATCTTTCCTATTATTTATCTTGGTACAACAATTTCTCGTCCAATAATGATATCCTCCATACTTACAGTAGTTCTAAAAATCGCAGGCTTTTTATCTTTTTTCCAAAGTTCATTCATATCATCTTCGTTTGGTGTTATACCACACAATTTTGCAGCAATATATAAAATTCCAAATAACACAAATAGCCACATACAAATTAAATTGGAGAGCCGTAATACACAAGCACCATAAGGAGTTTGTGACGGGTATTTGTACGAAGGTGGACAACTTGCGGGAATCGGATATATTTCTTGAGAGGTTAAGAAAGTGTATATTACTTTAAAAAATAATGCAAGAAAAAGGGAGGCAATGAGTTTGGTTATAATAGGAAATTGAAAAATAGAAATAGATATACTGCATTTTACTTGAAATGATAAACCAGCTGATGAATAAAGTACTTCGAGTAAATTTATAAAATAAATTTGTTTTCATCAATATTAATTTACATGAATGAATAGTAAAGTAAATTGCAGAAACTGAATTGATAATTACATGAATGCTTCGCGAATAATTATTAATTTTAGATCACATCGGTTACATAAACCTGACACTATGAGACTTACTTTTAAAAATAGTAAAAGAAGACTTGAATATATATACAAATCTTGCCTTTTTTTTTTTGAAAAAAAAGCGCATACATACATGGCATTGCAGTTGCAATTATCAGATAGCTATTTATGGTTATGAAAATTATCGTTATGAAGCAAAAATTCTACTTCTTGATATATTAACTTATACGGATTGTTTGACTTACCTCCATTCGATAATTGCACTCGTATAATGTCGATTTGGATATTGGCTTAAGTTTATGTATTTGACGATTTCTTTATCACAAATTCAAAAAGTACTAATGATTAGCATTCATCGTTATGTGAAACATTAGCATAATCAGCATTCATTTAAAAGTGACTTGATTTTTTTTTCAAAAAAAAAAAGGGAAAAATAACTTTTGAAAGGAAAAAAAAAATACCCAGGGCAGGACATACAAACGATAATAACGTTAATGGAAGTATTAAAACTGTTGCAATAATGAATTTTGCTGTAGTTGGAGCCATTATAGTTTACTAAGTATACGCGTAAATTGCAATATCAGTATAAATGTGATCAAGACGATCATTTTTATTCATTTCGTTTGTAGACTTTCTATTTTGAAATACGCCTATATGATCGGATGGCTAAGCACTATGTTTGGTTACTTGTGGGCTTGGAATTGGCTTTAAACACTATTTTAAGTGAATTGTTTTTTTTTTTTTTTTTAAATGATAACGATAACACATCCAAGCCTTGTCCGTAAACATATTTAGTATATAATTATGAACTATATAAAATTCTGTTTTTATCTTTGAGGCTTTGCTTTTCTTAGTGGCTTGCTAATGAAATTTTATTTTGGTATTTCCACTAGATCGTGGCATAAAAACAACTTATATTAGTAAGAACAAATAAAAAAAAAATTGATTATTGGCAATATAGTCTGATCTAATGTTATATAAAGGTCGTGTAATTTGTTTATTCGCATTACATTATGGCATGAAGGTTATGTTATGTATTGAAGCTTAGCAGTAAAGAATCTTAAGTCAACAAATATCTATTATTTAGATGTAACACATGTGTATAATTTTAAAACTCTTTCATGAAATTTCAAGTATCCTATTAAGTTTTGGTGGAATTTGGAAATTTCACAAAAATTTTAATTGTACGTATTTCCTAATTAAATTATTTTTGTGCTATTTACACATTTATTTCTTTTTATTGCAACCGGAATAAGATATTACAGTGCTAAATTTTATAATAAAAACCAAAACATCACGACCGATTTTGTTCACACCCCAAAATTTAAGATATCTAATTTAAGGGCATATATATATTATAATCAACTCCGTATAAGTAGTCGTAGTACTAAAAAATATCAATTTAAATTTTTATGGGTTTAAATTTTACTGTAGTGCCTGAACATAATCGGTCGTGATCTCATTAATCATGTATATTTAATCAAAATTCTTCATTAAATCGAAAGAGGAATTCTATTATAAAAGTACTAATATAAAGGTGGATATATTGCACTGCCTCGTAGTTCAGTGATGATAAATGACCTGGTCATTTGACCAAAATTTAAATGAATAAAAGTCATGCATGTTGACAAGAGTCAACGGATCGAAAAGAAAGGGTAGAACTGGCCAGGGGTTACATGCCACGTGCTACAACCCGTGCCCTCAAATCAT